ATAGGGGCGGTGGATGGTACTGGCACAACCACCCTCACTAGCATGCCCTCTTGGTGCCGTCTGCTGCCCGTTGCCTACTTCCCCTCCTTGGCTGCCTTTTCAGCTGGTGGAGGGAAGGAGAGGGAGGGAGTGGTGACAAGACAAGACAGTGGGGGGAAGACGGCGAGAGGTGGCCAGGCTGGCAAGCTGACCAGCATACCCATGGCAAGCTGACCAGCATACCCATGGCAAGCTGACCAGCATACCCATGGCAAGCTGACCAGCATACCCATGGCAAGCTCACCAACGCTACCAAAGAGTACCTTGTTGACCCAGTCAACAAGGTCAACGGAGTCAAATCAACATCCAGCTGTGGGGACACCTCCACAGGTCCACAACTCACCAGCGTTCCCAAAGAGCGCCTTGTTGACCCGGTCAACGAGGTTAATCCCGCCTGTGCTGTCAGCCCCGCCAGCTGGCAGAGAAACAGTGGGGTTTGGGGTGGTGGGGCCAGAGAAACAGTGGGGTTTGGGGTGGCGGGGACAGAGAAACAGTGGGGTTTGGGGTGGTGGGGACAGAGAAACAGTGGGGTTTGGGGTGGTGGGGACAGAGAAATAGGGGGGTTGGGTACGGTATGGGACAGTGGGTGCACAGAGGGGGGATGGGTATGTTGTTACACAGGGACCTAGCAGGGGATGATGGTGTATTGTAGTACCTGTCACAGGCATTCATCAACATTCACGAATCTTGACCATACGTAACCTAGATTCACCCTAACACTCCCTGCACACCTAGTGCTAGGGTAGATTTTGAGTAAAAAGTCAAAAGTCACCTAAAATGTTGACCAGATGTAATCTAGGTTCATCAGAGCACTACCAGCAGGCGCTAAATCGCTGCACCCCGTTCACTTCTCCATACCCTAAAACTTCACCTTTCTTTACCCAAGCCACCAGCAGTTTAACTAGCAGGTGCATCGCACCCTCAATCTCCTTACCCTAGACCGCCCTTACAGCCCCTCCATCTCCCAACCCTAGATCGTTCTGACGCTCCCTCATTCATTCTCCTCACCTTTCTCCGCCCCAGCCACCCCCTGCATTACGCGCAGGTAAAACGCCCCTCAATCGCCCTTCTCTAGAACATTACCCTCGTGACCCTCCATCTCCCTCCCCTCGCACACACATCCTCATGCCCCCCTATCGCTCATTCTCCTCACCTTTCTCCGCTCCAGCCACTCCCAGCTTCGCACCAGCAGGTAAAACGCCACTGTTCGCGCATAATGACTGTGTCGACCCTGTTGACCTCGTTGACCTCATTGGCCCTAGTTGACCCCACAGCTACCCTAAACCGTCCGCCTGCCCCTCGTCTTTCTCCTCTCCTCACCTTTCTCGGCTCCCAGCTTCACCAGCAGGTAAAACGTTGCCATTCGCGCATCTTAACTGAGTTGACCCTGTTGACCTCGTTGACCTCATTGACTCTTGTTGACCCTCGTTGACCCCACAGTTACCCTAAACCGTCCGCCTGCCCCTCGTCCTTCCCCTCTTCTCACCTTTCTCCGCCCCAGCCACTCCCAGCTTCACCAGCAGGTAAAACGCCGCCATCCGCACCGCCCATTGCGCCACGGACGACGCCGAAACCTGCAGCCCCGCGATGACGGCGCGCGGAACCACCGCGCCCGTGCGCGAGGGCGTGGAGGGGGAGGCGCGGCGGGCGGCGGACGGAAGAGGCGGGAGTGCGCGGATGGGGGTGAGCGCGAAAGCGGAGGACGAGCGGAGGGCTGCGAGCAGGCAGCGGCGGAGAGATGGGGGGAACGGGCGCGCGGAAAGATTGAGGAGGGAGAAGGGGAGGGGAGCGGGGAGGAGGGGATGGAGAAAGGGAAGGGGGGGAGGAGGAAGGAGGGGAGGGGGAGAGGAGGAGAGGGGGGGGGGGGGGGGGGGGGGGGGGGGGGGGTGGGGGGGTGGAGGGGAGGGGGGGAATGCAGGTGATGCGGAGAGGGGTTAGGAGCGCGAGAGAAGAGAGGGATTAAACGGAACGCGGAAAATGCGTAACAAATATTTTCCAATATTAGGGACTCGTCGAGCCGAAATAATGCGCACTAAAACGCGACCAGAAAGTGCAGTTAGAGGTCTGAGTACGCGGGAGGTTAGGAGAATGCTGATGCGAGGGGTTAACAAGAAAGAAATGTAGTTTGGCACGGGAGAAAAAAAACAAATAACTAACTAACTGATTAAATAATCAACTAGCTAAGAAACGGAAGAGGGGTGGAAATACAGCAACCCACAAGCGCCGGAAAGCGCGCTGGCGGGCCGGTAGCCACTGATGCTGCCGACTGCTGCTGACGTGGCAAGCGCTGCAGCTGCCATTGCGAGGTACTCTAAGAGGACGAGAAGCAAGCGGTGGAGACGGATTAAGACAGTGCGTTGGAAAGCGAAGGCGGACCAGGGCGGATTGGCGGCGCGAGGGAGGAAATTAGGCCTAAGTTTGGCAGGGAATAGGATCTGGCGAGTTTGGGAAAAAAATCTGGACGTCCTGAAATCTCCCTGGCCTGGAAACCTGAAATCCAGCTTGGAGATTCCCAATGACCCAAATCCTGTAACGAGGATCTTTTATCCGATTCTGGTCAGAAGAGTGTGCTTATAAGCAGACACATAAAATAATCAAATATGCTCTGACTTCTGGCAGCTCTTAGAAGTAATGTTGTGATAACTCAAGAATCTTCGGATTGATATAAAATTATCATTCATACATTGCAATTTATCAATAGCCTTGTCATCAGGGAGTTAAGCAGTGTACATCTTAAGCATGCAAAACCATCACATATACAACCCGTTAAGGTACACTTTACCAGGTGAATCACTAGTTACTCTGACTGACAGATGCACCGGTCAGCATTCTTTGGAATTCAAAGTCGACTCAAATTGCCCAGTCTGCTGACCCATTTCTACGGGCGTTTTGAGACCTTCATCTCTGCTCCCCACGTCCTTCCAACATTGTACGTGTCGCTGGCAACGCTGTCTGCACACACGGACACCAAAGCTTCGAATCGAAACATTGCTTTTGCACGATTGGGTGCCCTGCCTTGTTACCCAGAGTCCCTCAGAAATTCAGGTTTGAGAAGTGAAGAGCTCAAAGTACAGTTCGGTACCTAACAAGTTTGCCTGAGCTAAGTTGATGGCGAACGATTTTTCCAATGCGTGGGCAATGTTAACTTCTTCAAACTCGACCGAGTTTTTGCCACAATATGCCCAAACAAAGAAGACCCTTCCAACCTTCATGCTATATTTCCCCCCTTCAGGACTGAATGATTGTCGAAGGGGGCACCAGACGGAACATTCTGGACAGCTGTATGCGCCGACACTGAACTGTGTAACCAACACCATTTTGTTCTGACATAGGGAGTTTCTACTGCATTTCCGGTTGTGTAGCGTCACCTTCGCGAAACTGTCAAGTGCGATCAACTGATACTCTCGTGATAATCGCTTTTGTAAGGCGGATCACCCGAGGAGATAAATATCGGGTTACAAACGTAGACGATAGTAGAGACGAAATCTGGCGATCAATGTTTCCCCATGTCAGAGTCATGCTGCACTGGTCAGCGTCGACCCTTTCTCGGGCACTGCGTAAGTCCCCGAGTCGCCAAGGCATTCCGCGTATGCTTTTGAGCTTTTCCCCCTTGGTTTTGTCTGACCCGGTTATCAAACCCACCGACCACGTCCGCAAGATCCGCAATGGTTTTCCTCAGTTGTGAACTCCCTTCACTTCCAGCCCCATTTCTCGCAACATTGAGCCCAAATTTTCCTTTCAATTTTTCCTATTCACTTTCAAATTGTCTTTCTGCCTCAGTTACAGCTGAGAATGTAAGCTCTTTTATAGTGTAATATCATTCACACAAAAAATGTATTTCTGCCTTTTCACACACAGAAATTGCAACCCGGGCACGACAGAATATACAGTGACAAGATGGGGCATCTGCTCCTGCCCAAGAGAAGGTATTTCCCCACACACACGTTTCCCCCGCCATGACCCCTTCCGCAAGTTCCGCAATCAGGTCACAACTGCTTGTTTTCTTTCACAAGTTCGCAACACCCCCCGCCCTCCCCTCCCCCAGCTCTCCCCCGCCCCCTCCATCACCCACACACAGCCCCCGCTCTCCTCTCCTCTCCTCTCCTCCCTTCCCCTCGCATCCCCTTACGTCATCTGCTGTATGTGCTGGCGGCGAGAATCTGCGAAATCGATCTCCCACATCTGTCGCCATGCAGCGAAGCACTGCTTTGGCAGGCTGGCAATGGCAAGCTGCCACACAGCCTCAGGTAGAGAAAACCACGTGAAGCGCCGCAACCGCGGCCGCGCAGAATGGGGGAGATCAGTCAGAAGAGGAAAGTGTAGGTGAGCAGCAAGCGAAGCGAGCGAAGGAGGCCCAAGTCCAGTCGTTTCCCATCCCCAGTCGCATCCTGATGGCACGGACGGATTCTAGAACGCGAGGTTCGCGCGTCCGCGAGCCGCGCGACTGGCGGAGACTGTGCTGCCGAGCGAAGTTATCCGCGCAATGGGCGCGCGGAACGCGCCCTCCTCTCAGTCCCCGGGCCGCGGCCCCACGCCAATTCAGCCTGCCAATTCTTTTGGCCGTTGTGACGTTGACTATCAGTCTTCGAGCCCCATGCGAGTATTTAAATAAATGTCGCCGACATGTGATCTCCATCACGATCATCCTTCCTTTCCCCGCGCAAGTGACTCCGAGTCGAGGTTTCAATCACGAGACAACTCTAAGAAGCACAAGTCGTATGGCAGTTCATCTCTTTCAGCGACAAGCATCGTTCAGTGCATCCGAGAACAACCGCACGCGCGTGGTTATTTCGTTGACGATATATTGCTTTTTTATCAGTGGCGATTATTTGATCCTGAGCTAAGGACAAGCTACCACCGCGAGTTACCGTTTGTTTCCGCAATAGTTACCGTTTGTTTCCGGTGTATATACTTTTACTGGTAGAGAACTTCCGCGACGGAAACGCCTCCTCGCGTTTTGAATGGATTCTTCTTCGGCTTCGCGGCAGACTCCGATGAGCATCCTCCACGCGCTCGCCACGTCAGCCGCGCCGCTGATCGAGGATCCCCGCGCGCCGCTCGCGGAGCGCCTCCGCGCTCTTATCATCAAAGCGGAGGCTACGGCGGGAGCCGCCAACCTTGCGCCGCCGCAACCGCCACTGCAAACGGCGCGGACGGCCGAGGCGCCCAACCACGGAAGACACTTCCCAAAATCCACGTCAGAACCCGGCGTTTCGGCGGGCGCGATCTCCGGAACAACTTCCAGCGATTGGGGCTCCCATGTTCACAATGTCGAGTGTGATACTTCGGGGCGGCTTACAGCGGGGATAGGGGGGCTCTTCAAGTCATTCCCCTCGTTTCCCGGAGCCACTCTTAACGCGTCGCCTTCCGCCGCCGCCATTTCAAACCAAGACGTGCTGATTAACGGCAGCGGAAGCAGCTGCGGTAACCCGCGCTCCCCGCGTTCCCCGCGCTCATCCGCGTCGCCGCGTTCCCCGCATTCCCCGCGCTCGCCAGCCCGACAACGCCGCAGCTTCGCGTCGCGTCTCGCCGCGCGCGGCCCGTCCTCCGCGTCGCAGAAGGTTCCGCCGCCATCAGTGGCGCACTTGATCCCGGAGCGCGTCCAATCGGCACAACCCGTCCCCGATTCGGGAACGCTCCTGGTACGACCACCCACTTACCCGCAGCAACAGCAGCCTCAGCAGCAGCAGCAGCAGCAAAGTCTTGACCAATCATATCCAAGAGCACTTGATGCAGCAAAAAGTGGCTACGCGTTTCAAGGAGCTCCCACACGTGTCTCGTCCCCATTCGCCCTAATCGACGCGGGAATCAGCCCAGCCGCGCTCCTCGAATCGCCTATCATGGCAGGCCGCCCCGGCCCAACCCTAGGCTCGGCAGCAGGCTCGGCAGGCAGCACAGCCTTGGCACAAGCCGGACCTGCTGTCGCTACAGCGTGTTTGAACCCACCACCTCCGCCACTCCCCCTTCCCCCCTCGGTTCTCCCCCACTCCACCTCACTTCCTCCCCCAAACATGGTCCCCTCTCCGCCTGCTGCAATTCCCCCGCTGACCAAAGCCTTTCCACAGAAACCACCACCAGTGACAGTGCCAGGTTCGGACGCCGCCAAGCCTACTGGCTCGGGAATGTCCGAGCCTGCACTGGAGGGTGAGGAGGAGACCCCAACATCTGGTGTGGAGAACCCAGGGAAGCTTGAATTCGCTGACTTTGTTGACTTTGGAGGGAAGGGCGACGCAGGAGATGATCTCAACGACCTGTTTGACTTTTTTGACTCGCTTGTGGGCGGCGGCGCTAGTGGCAGAGGCAGTGGGAGTGGGAGTGAACAGCAGAGAGAAAGTAAGAAGCTTCTTGGAAGGAACAACAGCAGCAGCAACGACCGAAGCAGCAAGCACATGGAAGTTTCAGAAGGACATGAGCCCTTTGGGAGCAAATCTCGGGCAGGCCGGAAATTTCGGAGCATGGAGGGACTGGAGGCGGGCACCAACACGGAATATATTTTGGTGCCTGCCGACGATGGGTACAACTGGCGAAAGTATGGGCAGAAAATGGTGAAAGGCTGCCTGCACCCTCGACTCTATTTCCGCTGCACATTTCCGGGCTGCCCGGTGAGAAAAACGGAGGAACGGGCAGATGATGGAGAGGTGCTGGAAAGAATCTACAGGGGGTTGCATAATCACCCGCCTCCTGGGCTGCCCGCAAAAGAGATTCAGGAGGAGGAATGGGAAACCAGGAGTGAGCAGCAGCAGCAGCAGCAGCAGCAGCAGCAGGAGTTGGATGCTTCCCCTCCTGCTGCTGATGCTAATTCTCCAAAACTTTCCCTACTTTCGTCCTCCTCAATTCCGCTACTTCAAGCCGAGTCCACATCAATAAGGCAGGGTATTCCCATAAGTAACCCTATTGGTAACCAGACTGATAACCCTACTGGTAACCAGACTTGTAACACTGCTACAGACCGCCATGGGTCACAGGAGAGGCTCTGGGGGAAGCGGCTGTTCCTTCATCACAGCCGTTTATCCGCCCCTGCCAACCTGCAAATCTCAGCCGTTGATCTTACCAGCCCTGACCCTGGTTCTGAGGGGCCCACAGGGAGCAGTGGGGGATCCAGTGTGAGTGGGGAGCGGAAGAGAAAGGCACTACCTGGGGTAGGTTTATCTGCTGGGGACCTGTCAGCTGACGGAATGGACGAGGATGTTACCAGTGGAGCAGCTTGTAACGCAGCAGTGACTTCTAATAATGCAGCTACTCTCAACAGAGCAGCTACTAACGCAGCAGCTTACGACGAAGCTGCTTATAATGAGGTTGCTGGCGCCACGGATAAGAAGCCGAGGCGAAGCGCCGAAACAGTGCTGGTTTGTGCGCAGCAAGTAATCGAAGAGCCGAAACTGGTCGTCGAGTTACGCAGTAACATGGAGCTTCTAGACGACGGTTACCGCTGGCGCAAGTACGGACAGAAGGTGGTACGCGGTAACCCTAATCCGCGGAGTTACTACAAGTGCACGCATGCAGGGTGCACTGTGCGCAAGCACATGGAACGAGCGGTTACAGATCCATGTGTTGTGGTAACCAGCTATGAGGGCCGGCACTGCCACGCCATGCCAGGGCCTGTGTTCTCCCCTCCTCCTGCCGAGAGGAATTCTCCTGTTGCTGCTGGTGGTGACAGCGGCACTCTCAGCACTGCTGCTGGGAGCAGAAATGATAACCCTGGGATGTGTTCTTTCCGGTTGCCTGGCGAGGCTGTGGCAGTGAATGGGGTGGGGCATTGGGTGCTGCACTGAAGCATACTGATGAGCACTCGCGCTGTGCCGTGCCGCCTGATGCCTGATCCCTTCACCCCATCCCTTCACCCCATCCCTTCACCCCATCCCTTCACCCCATCCCCTCCATCCTTTTCCACATCCTCCTCACCCTGTCCCTCCTCCGTCACCTCTCTCCTCACCTCTACTTTTATATTTTTTAAGCTACCATCACAGCATTGCGGATCGCTTCAAAGGCACCATGTCATGCCTACTACCCCCGACTCAATGCCGGCGCACTTGCACTCACTCACTCCCTCCGCCCCTCACGCTCCCCTCCTCCACTCTTGCCCCCGCTCCCTTAACATCAACGCCACTTGTCACATCCTTGCGGATAGCTTCAAAGGCACCCTGCCATGCCCATTACCCCCGACTAAATGAGAATGCTTGGAAGAATGCGTCTGGGGTAGTTGATGTGGGAGAATGCCTTTGAGGGATCCGCGATTTGATGTGATTCTCTTTAAGGTAGTTTGGTTCTTTGCTTACTTGTGTAATATATGTTTTATAATTTGTTAAGAACTTCTATGTTTTATGTAAGGAATTTTCTCGGCATTCCTTACGGAGCCGACTACATCGCGTACAGCAACAGCCGTTGTTCGCCCGTTACTGCTAACGGGACTTCGCTAACTTCGCGCGCACCGCTTTGCCAAACCTCGCACTGCTGGCATGGCCGTATCGGCCTACGCTTCGGAACTAGCCCGAGCCTCGCTCCAGCGTAGCACTAGCAAGCTCGCACGCACCGCGTTACCGTTTTGCATGTTTCGCGTATAAATGTTCGCTCATGCCTTCGCTCACATTTTGTACTCGTTTGACACCTTAGTGCAATTCTCGCTACTTCGATTCATTGCACCCGTAACACTTGGTTATCAGAGCCCCTTTCTTTCGGACCGCGCATCTCCGCACACCAGGAAATCAACTTTTGATTTTTTCACTCGAAGGGACTCACGCACCTTAGCCCCTAGGAGCCGCTGTCCTCGCGTTCTCTCGTAAACGCGTGCAGCCACGACTGCGCCTAGACTAAGACGAGCCGACGCCCTTCGTCATGGCTGAGAATATCGACGTCACCACCCTCACGCAGGAGCGTTTGAACGATCTGCTGCGACAGCTGCGCGAAAGTCTCAGAATCCCAACCACTAGACCATTGGGATAAAAGGGCTTGTTTCAGTAGCGGGTCAGTGCGCCCATAACCCCCCAGGCAAATGTGCCTGTAACCCTTCCCTAGGATCGATCGGGGATCACCAGTGGACCTCTGACACCCCCCCGCACTGGGATGCCCGAAGTGCATACACCGGGATTCGAACCCGAGACCTCCGCTCTGGATACCATCTCAGAATCCCAACCACTAGACCATTGGGATAAAAGGGCTTGTTTCAGTAGCGGGTCAGTGCGCCCATAACCCCCCAGGCAAATGTGCCTGTAACCCTTCCCTAGGATCGATCGGGGATCACCAGTGGACCTCTGACAGAAAGTTCCGAGGAAATCGCGGCATTGACGGCAGAACGCTCATCGCTGCAAAATGACCTCACGAGGGCACAACAAGCACAATCTCAAGCACATGGCACTCCGATTCAACTTGCACCCTCGACATCACAACACGGGAGTGTGGGGCAACCCGCGAGCGCGGCCAGTGATGGCGTCGTCCGCCCCGACAGAGACGATGACCACGGCACGACACACCCCGGAGCTACGCATGCGGCCCCAAGTCAGCCTCGCGTCACGATTTCGGCACCAACCCACGATTCGGGACTGCCGTCACCGAGGCCGCTGAAGCCGCAGCGCCCGCCATGTTTTGACCCGAGTCAACGGGGTGGTCCTACCGTTCAGGCGTGGTTGTTCACGATGAATGTCTTCTTCGACGCCAACTACGTCTCGGAGGACTCGGCGAAGATTCGATACGCCGTGTCGCTGTTGCGAGGACCCGCCATGGACTGGTGGCGCGTCATCGTCACGAAGCCAACAGACTACGCGACACTACCGACACGGGAAGGACAAACCGGACCCTGGGCACCGTCGTATTTCGTGGAGGTGCCCCAGTATCGCACGTGGGATGCGTGGTGCGCAGGTCTGCGCGCTCGATTTGAGCCAATTGCGGCTTCGATCGCGGCGCGACAGAAGCTCCGCACTTGGCGCCAACTCGGTTCCGTCCAGGACTACACGAGCGGATTTCTGGCGCTATGCGAACAGGTGGGCTACATGCATGAGAGCGAGCGCATCGACCGCTACATCGGCGGCCTGAAGCAGGACATCGCTCAGAAAATCCAGCTTCGCGGCGTCACCGAATTTCAGGAAATTCTCGCTATGGCGGAGAAGCTCGACTTCTTTCGCCGACCGAGACCGGGGTCCTACGGAAACAACAACTGGGGACATCGGCCTCGTGGGACGAACGAGAGCGCCACGATACGCGCCGTCGCCGCAAATGCCGCTGCCGCACCGTTCAAAGGGCGCTGCTTTGCGTGCAATCGGCCGGGACATCGCAAGAGCGAATGCCCGGAAAACGCTAAGGGAAAGGGGGAAGCTGAGCAGCAGACACAGTCCAAGCAGCAGGGAAACGCTGGAAGTCAGTAGCAGACGGGCCCTCTACTGACAGGTCACGCCGCTCGCCCGACCCAACCGACCCTCACCGAGTGATTGTGCCGGTTCACGCAATCGACCACACCCGGCCGAATAAGGAGGGTACCACGGTAGACAGCCCTATACTGCTCAGTGGGAAAATTGGGACGGACTTAGTTAAAATCTTCGTAGATGGGGGAGCCAGCCACAGCCTCATTAACACTGCTACGGCACGAAAACTGCGACTGCCACTGGACAGATGCTTACCTGAGATCGACGCACGACTGGTAGACGGCACGCCACTGGCAATACGGGAACGCGTAGACCGAGTTCGGATTCGATGTGGGGGTAACTTCACATTCAGCCAGGAAATGCTAGCAACGACCCTCGACGGAACCGACATTTTACTCGGGCGTGATTGGCTGCGACGACACAATCCGCGAATCGACTGGACGACGGGTGACTGCACCGTGCGAGTGAACGGTAACAACATCGCCTTACCTCGTTGGGGATCGCCTGAGTCTTCGTCGGTGCGTGTCAATGCGATCACGATGAAACGCGCTGTAGCGGCCGGAGCTGACGTGTACGCGGTTGACATTCGGGAAGCCGAGGCAGCAGACAAGGGAGGGGATTTACAGAAACTGCTGACCGACGTACCGAGTGATCTGGCAGCACTGTTAACACGATACAGTGACATTTTCCCGGATGACTTACCGACGGGACTGCCACCTCAGCGACCGCACGATCACAGGATAGAACTGGAACCGGGGGCACAACCAACAGTACAGCGACAGTTCCGACTGACCCAACCCGAACTAGACGAACTAAGGAAGCAGCTCGATTACCTGCTCGAGAAAGAATTCATTCGCCCTAGCTCGTCGCCCTTCGCCGCACCAATACTGTTCACACCGAAAAAGGACGGGGGATTTCGCATGTGCATAGACTACAGAGCACTGAACAGGGTTACCATCAAATCTCGTTAACCCATCCCACGAGCTGATGAACTGATCGACCAACTGCGCACAGCCCGGGTTTTCTCGAAAATTGACCTCCGGGGAGGCTACCACCAAATCCGCGTCAACCCACCCGACTGTCCTAAAACCGCATTCCGAACACGCTACGGATCTTTCGAATACACTGTCATGCCATTTGGGCTGACCAACGCCCCCGCCACTTTCCAAATGACCATGAACGAAGCATTCCGCCCACTTTTAGATAAGTGCGTCATCGTTTATCTGGACGACATACTGATTTACAGCCCTGACAGAGCACAGCACTTACAGGACATCGAAGCAGTTTTTAAAATCCTGAGTGAGAACCGCCTACTGACCAAAGCATCCAAGTGTGAGTTTTTACAGGACCGCCTGGAGTTTTTGGGACATGTTATTTCAGCTGCAGGAGTGGAAATAGACCCGAAGAAAATTGCGACGATTCAGGCTTGGCATGCGCCGACCAGCTTGACCGAGTTGCAGAGTTTCCTGGGGTTCGTCAACTACGTGCGCCGGTTCGTCCCCGACATGGCGAAGCTGACTGCCCCGTTGACCGACCTGCTGAGGAAGGGGGTTGAGTACACGTGGGGGGAGAAAGAGCAAGCTGCCTTCTCGGCCCTCAAAAACATTTTGTGCTCACCGCCCGTGCTTCACATCGCAGATCCACACCGTACGTTCGAGCTCGTCACTGACGCAAGTGACATCGCTGTGGGAGCAGTACTGTTGCAGGACTTCGGGAATGGCCTCCAGCCAATCGCGTACGAGTCCCGCAAGCTACACCCGCCCGAACGCAACTACCCGATACACGACCGTGAAATGCTGGCGATCGTGCACGCGTTCAAAGTTTGGCGGTGTTACCTGACTGGCGCCGACGTAACAGTACGGACAGACCACCGTTCACTACAGTACCTTCGCGCCCAACCGAATCTCAACCCACGACAGATTCGCTGGTTGGACTATCTTGAGTCCAATTTTCACTACACCGTTACGTACAAAAAAGGAGCATCCAACATCGCCGACGCTCTCACCCGCCCCACCGCCCAACTCCACGCCATCCTACTCGCCCAGACCAACCCGCTTTTAACTGGCCTATTCACCCACGGATACCGCACCGACCCATTTTTCACGACCGGAAATTCACAGCAACTGGCAGAAGCAAAAGGAGTCTATTACGTAAAAACAGGCACCAACCGCATTTGGGTACCCGCTTACTCACTACTGAGGGAGCTACTACTGCAAGAGGCACACGACGGGATTACCTCGGGACATTTCGGGGTAGAAAAAACACGACAGCAACTGCAGCGGTATTACTACTGGCCGGAGCTGTTGACCGACGTACAGCAGCACGTGGGCTCGTGCCCTACGTGTCAGGTGATGAAGAGTTCAAGGAAGCGGAAGGCGGGTCAATTGCAGCCGATCCCACCGCCCGAACGCGCCTGGCAG